GCCAATTTTTTTAATTGGGTTGTTTTCTTCCTGGAATGGAATTATGTGAGTTCTTTATATATTTTGGAGATCAAACTCTTGTCTGAGATATTGGCAAATATGTTTTTCCATATAGTTGGTTCTCTTTTTATTTTAATGCTGTTTTCTTTAGCTATACAGAAGCTTTTTAGTTTGATGAGGTCCCATTTGATTATTCTTTCCTGTCTGTTTTTTGCTCTAGAGGATATATTGGTAAAAGTAATGCTGCATGGAGTGTCTGAGATTTTCCTGCCTATGTTTTCCTCTAGGACTTGTATGGTGTCACAACTTACATTTAATTTTTTTATCCACCTTGAATTTATTTTTGTGTGTGGTGTAAGTTGGTGACCAAGTGTATCTACATTCTTGATATCATTGGTATAATTTTGGCTATTCTGGTAATTGTGTAATAGTATCTCATTGCATTTTTGCTTTTTCTTGATGACTAGTGATGTTGAGCTCCTTTTTAAAATGTTTACTGACTATTTGGAATTTTCTTTTGTGAAGGGTGTGTTCAAGTCTTATGGCTTTTTTGTTGTTTGTTCTTTAAACCAATTTGTGAGTCCTTTCTATATTCCAGGCATGAGCCCTTTGCTTACATGAATTTATCGGTCTTTTATATTATGGGAGTGATTTCCTTGATCTGTTTAAGGAAGCTTTCTGTACTTCAACATCAAGAAAATGTTTTTAGACATTTTTGTTTTGCCTTTCATATTTATATCTGCAATCAATCAGGAATTTATTTTCACGTTATGAGGGATCAAAGGTCAAGGTCTCTCACCTCCCCCATGGATATACAGCTGTACCAAATTATTTATTGAAAAGAATGTGCTTTCCCTTCACTGCTCTGCAGTGCCACCTTTGCTGATAAGCAAATAATATGGATGTTTCTGTCTCTGGGCACATTATTTCGGTCTGTTGTATTTGCTCATCTTCAGACAGTGGCACACTGCCTTAGTGATGCCGCTTTGTAAGGTGTCTTGATATATATATGGCAAAGTAAGTTGTCTTACCTTGTTTTTTCCCATAAATATTTACTTATTCTTCATTTTTTGCATTTCTGTGTAAATTGTAGAAGCAGCTTGTAAATTTCCACACAAAGACAAAATCATGTTGGGATTTTTTAAATTATTGCCTCGAGTTCATAGATTAAGATGGGATAAATGGACACATTTAACATTTGAGTTTTTAATCCAGGAACATGATCTATTTGTCCATTTATTTAGATCTTTAGGTCTTGTTCAATTTTCTCAAGAACATTGTGTAGCTTGGCAGAGGGATTGTATCTTATTAGATGTTTGTCATTAGATATATAGCAAGGTATTTGAAAACTTTTGATGCTGTTGAAAATGGTATTTTTTATTCTTTTTCATATTTTCTAACCCTTGGCTTCCCACACATGAACATGTAATTGTTTTTATTGTTGTTCTTTTGCCTAGAAGCCTTGCAAATATTACATATTCTAATAATTTAGCTGTAGATACCTTTAGATGTTCTATCTACGCAGCATCACCTGCAAAAAAAAAAAAGAATTCCAGCTTTTTCATGTTATCAGTTGGAGTGTTGGTTCTAATGACCTAATCTCCCGTTAGCAGAAACCTATATTTTCTTTGTATGTGAAAAAGCTCTGGTCATGGAGAAACTTAGATTGTGGGACACACTGCTAAGACTGCCTGCCATGTTTGCTTATTTTGGATGAGAATCAGAGAAGTACAATATCATTAGAGCGTAGTATACATTTTACTCATTTTTGCTTGCATATGTCAGTAAAAACTACTCCAAAACTTCAGTGACTTATACAATAAAACAGCTCCGTTTTTAAATCATGCTATACCTTGGCTCTCAGTTGATTGTCACTCTGCTCCATATTTTCTTCTCTCTGGAATCCAGAGCAAAGGAAGAGTCCCTACGTGGGGTGGGCCCTTTTTTGTGATAATGTTGGATAGTTTCTAAAACTGCAATATGTGCTATATGTCAGTTTTACTCACAGTTCATTGGCCAACACAAGACAAAGCCATCCTTTTAGAGTGAAAAACACTTCAAATTACATGACGGTGGGTGGGGCTGTGTAGCTTCACAGAGAAAGGCCCCAAGTAATAATAATTCAACACACTACACAAAGTTTCAACCAGGGGAGGAGTCAGGAGGACTCTGAAATTCAGTCACTCTGTAAAAGTGACAACCAAGTAAGTTTACAGGGGATTCATCAGGATTTGATACAAAAAAAAGTAGATTAAAAAATCTATCTCAGCCTTAGAAAATTAGGGAATTCTAATATTATGCTAAGTGAAATGAACTAGTCAGAAGAAGACAGAAATGATATGTTTCACTTACATAAAGTATCTCAAGTATTTGAATTTGTGTATATAAAGAAGATTGGTTATTGTGGAGTACCTGAGGGAGAAGGAAATGGGGTGTTTTTTCTTAATGGGTATAGATTTTTAGTTTTAGTGATGAAAAAGTTCTAGAGATCTGTTTTACAACAATGAGAATATATATTCCACTTAAAGTGTACACAGGCTGTTGGTTAAGGTGGTAAGTGTAATGTTATGTGTTTTTAAATACAATTAAATGAAGATTTTAAAGGAAAAATTAGGGGTTAAAATCTGAAGCTTATATTCCATTATATATGTATATACCATATTTTCTTCTGTTAATCTGCCTGTGGACAATTGGCTTGCTTCCACCTTTTGGCTATTGTGAATAATGCTGCAATGAAAATGAATGTGCAAAGATTACTTCAAAACCCTGCTTTTTATTCTTTTGAATATAAAAAAGAAGTGAGATTGTTCAACTACATAATAGATTTATTTCTTATTTTTAGAGGAACCTCCAAACTGTTCTTTACAGTAGCTGTACTATTTTGCATTTCCACCAACAGTGGGTTTGGATTCTAATTTTTTCACCTCATTCCAACATCGGTTACTTTCTGTGTTCCAAATACTGATCATCCTAATAAGTGTGAGGTGATACTCCATTGTTGTTTTGATTTGATTTCTCTAATGATTACTGATGTTGGGTATCTTTTCATTATCTTATTGTCCATTTTTATGTTTTATTTAGAGATATGTGTGTTCAAGTGTTTGATCATTATTTAATCAACTAATTTGGGCTTTTTTTGTTTTAAATTTTAGAGTTTCTTTATATATCTGAGATGTTTATTTGCCCTTTAACTGATATTCGTGACTTGCAAATACTTTTTGTCATTGTATGGGTTTTCTTTTAACTCACTCATCTCTTTCGATGACTGTTAATTTTTTAAGCTTGATGTAGTCTCGTTTCCTATTTTGCTCTGTTCCCTGAGCTTTTGGGATCATGTCCAAAGATTTAATGGCAGACCTAATGTCAGGAAGCTTTTCCTCTGTGTTATCTCACACGAGTGTTACAGTTTTGGGTCTTCCATTTAAATCTTTAATCCATTTTGAATTAATTTTGCATGTGGTGTAAAGTTCTTTTACATGTGAATATCCTGTTTTCTCAACACCTTTTGTGAAAGTTTATCTTTTCTCCATTGATTGGTCTTGGTACTCTTATTGGAGATCATTTGACCATAAACACAAGGGTTTATTTATGCTGTCTTTATTCTGGTCCATTGGTCTGTATGTCTGTCTTTATGTCAGTGCCACTCTTTTTTAACTTTAGCTTTGTAATGTGTTTTGAAATCATGAAATGTAAGCCAATAACCTTGCTATTTTGGAAGATTCTTTCGGCTCCTTGAAGTCTGTTGAGATATTATATAAATGATATTATATATCATATCATATAATTGATAATGATATTTTATATATCTTTAAAACATGCCATTGGGTTTACAAAATATTGAATCTGTAAATTGCTTTGGGTGGTATGAACAGTTTAACAATATTAAATATTCTAATCTATGGTTTTCTTTCTAGTGAAAATAAAATGTAAAGCAGCTGTTTAAAAAACTCTATCTCTTTAGCAGGTATTCTAGGAGTTAGGTCCACTCAGGAAGCAGGGAACCAGAGAACACCTCTCCAGTTACATAGTTCCTTTCTGAGAACTTTTGGGGTGCCAGGAACAATATTCACGGACAGGTTGCCCCTTGCATATTCACCCAGACCCCACCCCTACTCGCCCAGGATAATCACTTTTAGTGGTTGGGGTTACTGGCCAAGAAGCTCATGGCAACATTCGTTTTAGGGAAGTGCCAACCTAATACCTAGGGAGCTAGGATCTGCATTTTCAGCAGCAGCTAGTGATCAGCGCTGGCAGCCCTGCAAAGGTCTGATTCATACCTGAGAGCCCCAGACCTGCCGAGGGCAAACTCAACAGTGGGACTAAGAGGCCACTCATGTGGAAGATGTACTTGTAACATTTCAACACATATCACAAAGAGTCTAATTACATCTATTTAGGATTAATAGCTATACTTTGAGGAATAGATTCTTTAGAGCCCAGGTGGCAAACGCAAGGCCCAGGGACTGAATCCAGCCTTCTACCTTATTTTATCTGGCCTGGCACCTTGTTTCTACCAGGCAGCCGTGCCAAGGTCCTTGCTCCTAGTTAAGGGGTAGTTACATTTTTAGTCCTAAAGTTACATTTGGCCCTTTGAAGGCAACTGCAAGGCTGATGTGGCCCCCAGTGAAAATGAGTTTGACACCCCTGCTTTAGAGTGAAGTTTACGTTTATAAAATAAATGTAAAATAAACGTTTAGAGTGATGATATATGTTTATAAAATAAAATAATTTTGAGCTATATTAAATATATCTTAAGTGTGATACAGGTTTTGGTTCCTAACTGAGTGTTGAATATTTGTAAACTGAAGCAATTTCTATTTATCATGTGAATGATAACCCAGAATCTCAGGGCCTGGATTATTCTACTTGTTCTTCTAATAATGCTGCTTAACGGTCGATATCCTGGGTCACATCTCGGTCCAGATTTCTGGTTGGATAGTGGGTATGAAACCATGTTGTATTTCTGATGGAACACCTGTTATTGTTATTGTTTTTCATAGGCTGAGCGTCAGGCTATCAATACAACAGTCCAAGGTTCGGCAGCTGATATTGTCAAAATAGCCACAGTTAACATTCAGAAGCAGTTAGAGACCTTCCCCTCAACCTTCAAATCCCACGGTCATCGGGAAAGTGTGCTTCAAAGTGACAGAACAGGTTTGTTCATAGATGAGACCCTGCTATAGCATGATGAGATTAATTGCATCAGGAATGAAAAGGGGATGTATTTTATATATTCTCAGCAATTCTGTAACATTTTGGTCTCAATTTGTCTTTACATTCAGAAATATTGAGATGCCAAAAAGTTTTTTTTAATTTGTTTTTAAATTTTATTTATTTATCTTTGTTTAGAGGGGAACAGAAGGAGAAAGGGAGAGAAACATCAATGTATGGTTGTCTCTTGGGCATCCCCTGCTGGGAACTGGCCTGCAACCCAGGCATGTGCCCTGACTGGGAATCGAACTACGATCCTCTGGTTCACAGGTCCAAGCTCAAGGCACTGAGCTACACCAGCCAGGGCAAGATGCCAAAAAGTTTTTGTTTCTGTGGAATCTATCTACCAATATTTACCATATTAAAGTTTAAAAAATATGGAATTTAAAACATTTAAAAACATTTATTAACATTTTAAAAGTAATAAACTCAACATATGTTAACGTAAGTAACATATTTTATTAAAATAACTATTATTTATTTAAATATTTTATTTATTTATTTTTAGAGGGAGGGAAAGGGGAGAAGAAAGAGAGGGAGAGAAACATCGATGTGAGAGAGAAACATCATTTGGTTGGTCTCTCATGGGGTTGAACCCACAACCCAGGCATGTGCCCTGACCAGGCATTGAACCGGTGACGTTTTGCTTTGCGGGGTGATGCCTAACCAACTGAGCCACACCATTCAGGGCTAAAATATTAATAACTACATTTTTTTAGAACAAAAGAAATTTGGTAATGATTGTCTTTAGTTTACCTTTTTGCTAATCTCTTTAATGTTTAGCTTCTGAGAAGACAGTTGGATTCTCTCTCCTATTTCTACATTCAGTGTGTTGCAATGTTACATGTCCTGTAACCTCTGAAAAACCCTAAATGTATAGTCTAGAGTGATAAATGCCCTAGTTTGTGGGAGATTGGTGGGTTCCTCAGGATGTGGTACTTGCAGTGCAAAAACCAGGATAGTCGATCACCTTCCTGTATACTTATTGGCAAATGAGACCGAAAAAGGAAAACAATCTCTGCATATTGTTAAGAAAATGATTTGACTTTGCATGTTCTTTGAAAGGACTTTAGGGACCCCTGTGGTCCTCGGAACATAAGAACATGTTTGATTTTTCCTATTCATGGCATTTCATATTCTCCAAAGTCTGGATTAAACAAGTTGACTTCCTTATCACATACATTTCTTTGTCAATATTGTCACCTTTTCTTGTTCTTATTCTTAAAATATTTTCTCTGAAAGTCCTCCTCTTGTTGCTTGGATAGATTATTTCTTGTTTTAACAAGTACGTAGAACTTTTTCTTATCTCTTTCTCCCATGTCTGTACTCCACTTTAAATACCATTGCACAGACACTGAGATTGTCAAACCATGACTGCAGCTGTGTTTGAAATTTCCCTGGGAAAAGGTTAAGAAGTCTCAGGCATAAAGGGGAAGAATAAACTGCCTGAGAGGGTGTAGAAAAGGTAGAGGTCAGCTGTTAAGGATAGAATTTGCTATTTCTAGAAGAGACATACAAATATATTAAAGAGAATAATGCAGCCAGTTACATAAAAAGATGTTCACTTATATACAAAAATACATAGATATAAAAACCTATTGCTCTCCAAATAGGTATTGTTAGTTTTATTGTCTTCAATGCCCCCCCCCCAGAGTCTAAGGCTGATCATTTGACATACTGTTATGTGGGAGTAAGTATGCACACACACATACACACACACACACACACACAATATATATATATATATATATATATATATATATAGAGAGAGAGAGAGAGAGAGAGAGAGAGAGAATGTGCAGTGATCAAGCTCATTTGGGGAATAGTACTACTGTGTGCTCTGAAGGGATTAGAGGTAAAAATTATCAGGCTATGTTTAAATTTAAGATCCACCAAGGAAGGGAAGATATGATACCTGACTGAATATTTGCATAACTCTTCACAGCAGAGTAATGCAGTGTCAAAATGAGGGTGTAGACAGTAACAACCTTTAGAATGAGTGGGAGACAATGTAGATATGTCCCTGAGAATGACTTCATGGTGACATGACAGGTTAAAGGTAGCCGCAGTAGGTCCATGCGATCAAAGGGAGCTGAGCCGGGGGCAGCAGACTGCACAGGGAACCGGAAGATCGTGGCATTCTGGGTCAGGAGCCAAGTATTCAAGGGCAATGAAGAGGACAGAGGCACAGTGATCAGAAAGCAGAAAAGCTAGAGCATCTGGACAGCTGATGCTGTGAGATAGGGGGGTCCAGTGGGGCAGATCACATGTCAGCCAAACTGGCCAACAGTTGCACAGCCTTTGCAGCCCAGCTGTGCCACGACCTCATCTGCATTTGTCCTCTTACCCTGCGACAGCCACCTCGGAGCAAACTGGGGCTGCAGATAGCGACAGCTAAAGAACGCTGAGAGTACTGAAGGAGATGGGAGTATATTTGCCGTCCAGTGGATAAGTAGGAAATCTGGATGGCAGAAAGGAAGCACTCGTGTGAGATATGGTCAAATAATTAAAGGCATTTATTCTAAAGGTCTTAATGTTGAAACTTATTTAGTGATCAGAGGGACATAGACTGTATCACCAGGCCCAGCTAGTTAGGAAATAGTAACTAAGTCTAGTACAGTGATTTATAACCATTTGTGGAGTCACGGGTTTCTGAGAATCTATTGAAAGCTATAGATCATGTCCATAGAAAAATGCAGACACAGACTCTTATGTATAATGTCAGGAAACTCACACGCTCTGAAGTCCACACTCTGATCTGAGGTTAGGTCCATGTCTAGAGTATGCTAATTGGGGAAGCACCAGTTCTACCATAGTGACACTTCTGGCCATGAAATGTCACCAGGCAGTGTCCCCTTATAAAACATTGCCTAATGACAATACAGTTCCCTTTGCTGGAGCAGGAATCAGGCCCCATACTATCTGGGGGCTTTTACTTAGAACAGTGGGACTCCACGAAAGAGAAGATGTTGGTTGTTTATGAGAATAAGTTATAGAGTTTGGAGCAGATTTCTTCACACTTCATTTATTGGTGTCTTCGTTAGACTCCTCCTTTCTGGGAGGAAGCTGATGGAGATTTAGTCTACCTAATAAGTAGGCTAAGTAGCAGACAGCAAGTAGTTATTTTCTGATAGTTCCAAATCTGCTGTATTTTAATCTCTTAATTAAAATTTCCCAGAGTTTCTTAAGATCTCTAAAAAAAGACCCCAGAACCCAAAACACAACATTCTCCTACAGCAGAGTGACATGTTTAGGTGTGCTGCTTTTTCCACTGGGCAGGAGGGTTGTCACCAAAGAGAGGACTGCCAGAGGTCTTCGGCCCTGTCAGAGGTGGCTTCTTCATTCTTCAGCTCCATGATGAACTCTTATATGAAGTGGCGGAAGAGGATGTTGTTCAGGTATTTTTACAGTGTTTGCATCCATTCTATGGAAAGTGAAGACACTTTGCAGGTCAGGCTAAGATACATAAATGTTGAGTCCTTAAGGGTATAGAAAGAACTGAGAGAGCTCAGTGTCATACTGTTGTTAAAGAAATTCCTGGTGCAGGCATGTTTTTCATCTGGGAGAAGTTAGATGCGAATTTGGAGTCTTGTCCTGAGGGTTTCAAAGCTCTGAGCATTCTAGCTGAAACTGGCAGAGCTCCTGCTGGTCAGTGCAGACCTGGGGTGCCTGGCTCTTCACGGATGTCAACTTTTAAGCACCAGGTGAAGAGCTCTAGTCTGGCCTGCCACCTCCGTATGTGGGATGGGGAGCCTTCTTTCACTGGGCAGAGTTTGTTAACTTCTTTCTTCTCCCCTTAGGTTGCTCAGATTGTCAAGAATGAAATGGAAAATGCCATAAAACTTTCTGTGAAACTGAAAGTGAAAGTGAAAATAGGTGGCAGCTGGGGAGCACTGAAGGACTTCGATGTGTAAATTATACAGTCGATTAAGGCCTAAAAGCCTTGTGTGGGTGCAATTACATGGGAAGAATAGAGATTACCCTTTCGCCTACTTCACGAAGGCAGAAACCATCAGGTCTTAACAGACCTAGGATTGTAATTTATAGTAGGAGTTTCAAAATGTATATATATGAGTTTATTCTCTATAGTGTAAAAAATCTTTTTTGAGGTAAAATACCAAGCTTAATTATTATATTCCCTCTCAAAGAGTATTTATGGAAGCCTTTCATAGCTCACTGTGGCTCTAAACAGGTTCAGCATGCATCCTTGAAATATGCACTTAGCACGCTGGGTCCTCACCTGTCTGGACCGAGCACTCGAAAAAGGGAACAGTTGCCTCGGAGGCATTTTCAGCCCCTTCCAGGGTCCAACAGGAGCCACTGACGGATAAGGATTTCATTTCATATACCTCACCAGGGTTAGGCCTCGTGTGTGAGTTTTCACCAATATCAACTTAAGACTACTGACGTAGTATTCTTAAATAGCTTTGGCTAATAAATTATGAATACTGTGAAGTGGTAAGTCTTGATATGGATGTAGTCAAGGAATGGATTTTCATGCAGTGTTGTTTATGCTTCCTTTCTCCCCAGTTCATGCAATGAATGTATTTACAATACTTAGGTATTATAAAATAGGCTACACCTCTTGAAGAGGGATCCTGTTCTGTAAGATCAGGTGTTTATACTGCAGTTTAATATAATACTTCCAGAGAAGGAAACACCCTCTTATCGGTCCCTCCATGCCTCTATGTTTGTGGCATGGTGAGAATACCCACCCACAAAAGATTGTACTTCAATAATCCCTGTATACGTGACCTTTTAACTGTCAAAATAAAATGTATTTATGAGAAACCTTCCATCAGCAGTTCAGTTTTGTAAATCATGTTTGGTCTAAGAGTATCAGACACCTGTGTCCCATATTTACTTATTTCGTAGTTTGCTTAACTCTGTGCACATAAGAATTGTTAATTATACTCAATCAGTTATCAAAAGATTGTTCTTTTATGCATATTAGTCAGAAATTTTTAAAAAGACAGTTGCTTTGTAAACAAGTGTGATACACTGTCATAACTGGATATTAGTGTGCACGATACTCAGACATATTTTATGGGGGAGGGTGGTGGGCAGAAGATGACAGTGGTAAGAGGGAAGTATGCGCATTGTGGTAGAAAGAATAACACCCTCCTCTCCAAATGTCAGTAATCTAACTCCTAAAACCTGTGAACGTGTTATATTACATGACAAAATGACAGTGCTGATATAATTTATTTAGAGATCTTGAGATGGCGAGATTACCTGGGTGGTTCCAACGTACATACAAGGGACCTTGCAGAAGGAAGGCAGACAGAGTCAGAGGAGGAGATGTGACTACAAAGAGTCAGACTGAGATTTGAAGAGGCTGCGCTAACTCCGAGGATGGAAGAAGGGACCCTGAGCCAAGGAATGCAGGCAGCCTCCAGAAGCTGGAAAAGGCAATGGAGTGGACCTGGATCTCCCCAATCCTCCATTTTAGCCCAATGAAGACCATATCGAACTTCCGACCTCCAGAATGGTAATCTGTGTTATTTTTAAGTTTTATTGAGATGTAATGGACATACAACACTGTGTAAGTTTAAGTTGTACAGCATAATGGCTTACATATATTGTGAAGCGATTGCCACAGTAAGTTAACATTCACCATCTCATAGGTATTAAAAAGAAGGGGAAACTTTTTCTGTGTGATGGTAACTTCCAGGGTTTACTATTTTAGCAACTTCTGAATATACAGTCCAGTGTTTACTGGTGTCATCATGTACTTTACATCCCTAGTACTTATTTTTTCTTATACAGGACCTTTGTACCTTTTGACAACCTTTCTTCAATTCTCCCACCCTCCACTCCTACACCCCTGCCCCTGGTAACACAAATCTGATCTATTTTTTAAGGTTTTATTTATTTAATTTTAGAGAGAGGGGAAGGGAGGGGGAAAGCAAGGGAAAGAAATATCAGCTACAGAAATATTGTGGCTCCCACTGAGGACCTGGCCCACAACCCAGGCATGTGCCCTGACTGGGAATCGAACCAGTGACCCTTTGGTTTGCAGCCTGCGCTCAGTCCACTGAGTTACACTGGCCAGGGCTGATCTACTTTGTTTTTTAAAGATTTTATTTATTTTTAGAGGAAAGGGGAAGGGAGGGAGCAAGAGACAGAGAGAAACATCTATGTAAGAGAGATACATGAATCAGTTGCCTCTCACACAGAACCAGCTGGGGACCTGGCCTGCAACCCAGGCATGTGCCTGACTGGGAACAGAATCTGCAACCTTTTGGTTCACAGGCTGGCACTCAATCCATTGAGCTGCACCAGTCAGGGCTGATCTATTTTTCTGTGAGTTATTTTTTTAAGATTGTACATTTAAGTAAGACCATATTTGTCTTTCTTTATTTCACTTAACATAATTCCCTAAAGATCCATTCATGTTGTAGCAAGTGTCAGGACTTGCTCCATTTTTATGGCTGTAAATATTCCAAAGCTTCCTTATGCATTTTTCCATTGATGGACACTTAAGCTGTTTACCTGTCTTGGTTATTGTAAATAATGCTGCTGGGAACGTGGGGATGCAGTTATGTCATGGAGGAGTGTTTTTCTTTACTTTGGATATTTACCCAGAAATGGAATTGCTGGACCATACGGCAGTTCTATTTTTAATTTTTTGAGGAATCTCCATACTGTTTTTTATAGTGGCTGCACTAATTTACATTTCCACCAACTGTGCCCAAGGATTCACTTTTTCTACATCCTAGCCAACACTCGTTATTTTTTTGTCTTTAACAATAGCCATTCTAACAGGTCTAAGGTGATATCTCACTGTGATTTTGATTTGCATTTCCCTAATGATTTGCGTACCCATTGGCCAGTTGTATGTCTTCTTTGGAAACATTTCTTTCCAGATCTTATGCCCATTTAAAAAATTTGATTGTTCTGAGGGATGGCTATTGAGTTGTATAAGTTCCTTATATATTTTGGATATTTACCCTTTATCAGATATAAGATTTGCCAACATTTTTTCCCATTTCATAGGCTATCTTTTCATTTTGTTGATTGTTTATTTTTCTGTGCAAAAGTGTTTTAGTTTCATGGAGCCTCACTTGTTTATTTTCGGTTTTGCTGCTTGTGCTTCAGGCGTCACACCCACACATCCTGACCAAGACCCATGTCCAGGAGCTTATTCCCTAGGTTTTTTCTAAGAGTGTTATTGATTTAGGCCTTACATTTAAGTCTTTAACCCATTTTGGACTAGTTTTTGTGACTGGTGTAAGATAGCGGTCTAGTTTCATTCTGTTGCATTTGAATATCCAACTTTCCCAGTACGATTTATTAAAGAGATTGTCTTTTCTCCACTGAGTTTTCTTGGCACTCTTGTCAAATATTAATGAACTATTGATGTGTAGGTTTATTTCTGGGCTCTGGATTCTGTTTCATTGGTCTATAGATCTGTTTTTATGCCACTGTCATGCTGTTTTGATTACTATAGCTTTATAAGATAGCTTGAAGTCAAAAAGTATAATGCCTCTTGCTTTGTTCTTCTTTCTCAGTATTGCTTTGGCTATTTTGGGTTTTTTTGTGGTTCCATACAAATTGTAGGGTTGTTTTTCTACTTCTGAAAAAATGCCATTGGATTCTTGATGAGGATTGCATTGAACCTACAGATGGCTCCAGGTAGGACATTTTAACAGTGTTAATTTTTCCACTCCATGAACACAGGAGGCCTTTCCATTTTTGTGTGTGTGTTCTTTGTCCAGTGTTTCATAGTTTTCAGCATAGAGATCTTTCCCTCCTTGCTTAAATTTATTTCTAAGGTTTTATTTTGTCTTTGATGCTATTGGATATGGGATCATTTTATTTATTTTTCAGACTGGTCATCGTTGGTATGTATATAGAAATGCTACTGATTCTTACATGTTAATTTTGTATCTTGCAACTTCACTGAATTTGTGGATTAGTTCTAACAATTTTTAGCAGATTTTTCTAAACATAAAATCATGTCATCTGCAAATAGAGACAATTTTATTTCTTCCTTTCTAATTTGGATGCCTTTTATTTTTTTGTATTGCCTGACTAATCTGGCTAGGAATCCTCGTACTATGTGGAGTAGGAGTGGTGAGAGTGGGCACTCTTCTCTTGTTCCTGATCTTGGAGAAGAAGCTTTCAACTTCTCACCATTGAGTGTGATATTATATGTGGACTTGTAATATATGGTGTGGATTATGCTGAGGTACGTTCTTTCTACACCTAATTTCTTAAGAGAATTTATCATGAACAGATGTTGAATTTTGTCAAATGTTTTTTTCTGCATCTATTCAGATGATATGGTTTTTAAATCTTTCATTCTATTAATGTGATGTATCACATTGGTTGATTATATTGAATCATTCTGGCATCCTAGGGATAAAAATCTCTCTTGATTGTGGTGAATGAATGATCCTTTTAATGTGCAGCTGAATTCAGCTTGCTTGTATGTATTGAAAATTTTTGCACTGGCCTGTAATTTTTTCTTGTAGTGCTCTTTACTGGCTTTAGCAGGGTAATGCTGGACTCATAAAATGAGTTTGGGAGTGTCCATCCTATTTGATTTCTTTCATTTACAATTTTGTTGATTTGTATAGTCTAGTTTCATTGGTTAGTGTAGCTAAAGATTTGTGAATTGTGTTTATTTTTTAAAGAACCATTCTTTTAAAAAATATATTTTATTGATTATGCTATTATAGTTGTCCCATTTCTCCCCCTTTATTGCCTCCACCCTGCACAACCCTTCCCCCCTGCATTCCCCCCACCCCTTTAATTCATGTCCATGGGTCATACATGTAAGTTCCTTGGCTTCTACATTTCCTATACTATTCTTAACCTCCCCCTGTCTATTTTCTACCTACCATTTATGCTACTTATTCTCTGTACTTTTTTCCCCATTCTTCTGCTCTCCCTCCCCACTGATAACCCTCCTCGTGATCTCCATTTCAGTGATTCTGTTCCTGTTCTAGTTGTTTGCTTAGGTTTTTAAAAATTTTTGTTTGTTTTTTTTTTTAGGTTCAGCTGTTGATAGTTGTGAGTTTATTGTCATTTTACTGTTCATAGTTTTTTTAAATTATTTATTTTTATTGATTATGCCATTATAGTTGTTCTATTCCCCCCTTTATTCCCCTCCCCCCATCCCCACCATTACCCCCCTTTAGTTTATGACCATGTGTCTCAAGTTCTTTAGATTCTGTATTTCCCATACTATTCTTGCCCCCCCCATCTATTTTCTATCTACTGTCTGTGCTACTTATTTTCTGTACCTTCTCCTCCTCCCACTCCCCTGTTGCTAACCCTCCTTGAGATCTTCATTTCTATGTTTCCACTCCTGATCTAGCTGTCCTTTTAGTTTGCTTTTGTTTTAGGTGTGGTTCTTAATAACTGTGAGTTTGCTGTCCTTTCACTGTTCATGTTTTTTTTAACTTCTTTTTCTTAGATAAGTCCCTTGAACATTTCATATAATAAGGGCTTCGTGATGATGAACTCCTTGAATTTGACCTTATCTGAGAAGCACTTTATCTGTCCTTCCATTCTAAATGAAAGTTTTGCTGGATAGAGCAATCTTGGTTGTAGGTCTTTGGATTTCATGACTTGGAATACTTCTTTCCAGCCCCTTCTTGCCTGTAAGGTCTCTTTTGAGAAATCTGCTGACAGTCTGATGGGGACTCCTTTGTAGGTGACAGTCCCCTTATCTCTTGCTGCTTCTAGGATTCTCTCCTTCATTTTAATCTTGGCTAATGTAATTATGATGTTCCTTGATGTGTTCCTTCTTGGGTCCAATTTCTTTGGGACTCTCTGAGCTTCC